TTCATGGCCGTGACCACTAGACTCTAGTGTATTCCTGACCTGAATCGACTGCAGCAGACATGAGTCCGTCAGTGCCCGTTGAAGTTATTGAAATGGTAGAATCACTGGGTGAGTGTTCAGTGACCCACTATTTCGATGTCGAGAAACTTGTACGATTTTTTATCTGCGAACTGTTATGAGTTACGAATAGTTCCTGATTAGTTTGTACAGATTTTATTGACAAGGATTTCCAGATATTTGAGGGGTTGACTCCAGGTTGGCCAGAGATATTAAGCCAAGTTACATCTATACCATCACCTTGTCACCCAAATCAAACAATTTGTAACTGTGTTAAGAACCAACCTGTCGTCGAAGAGCCCACATGGTCTTTTGTTTCAAGCGACCTTCCTACTTGCAGATATATAACCTTGTTAGCGTGGTTGTCAGCGCAGTAGACGTCATTGTCACTCTGCAGGTCTGCAACAATATTCTTCCACGGATGCCACTCATTGTTTTGAGTTTCCATGAATATTAAGTTATTTGTGTATGTATAAATTTGACCCATTATTTATGTACAGTATATGCACATCTCTCATCACCAGATAAGAGGATAATACCAGTACATAAAAGTAGCTATTAAATCCTTTGAAAGTGTGATAAGTTAAAGTAACTGGTAACAGTAGAAACAAATCAAAATTATATTCAGAAAGAAATTCAGAGTAGATTGAATTCAGATGATCTGCCTTTGAAAACAGTTGCTGTTTCTAGGTGGCCATTCATGAGAATATCGTAAACTTTTAATAGTTGCGAAGGTTATACAGACCTGAAGTTATTTATATTAGGAATAAATTATTACATTTTATTAAGATCCTCATCAATTCTTAGCTGACCAAAATGCAGAGGTCCAGTGTGCACTGCTAAGTATGCAAGTTACTAAGATTGTAAAATCCCATTGGTACTTGCGGGTTAACAGGACACATCGCTTTAAAAATACGTTAGGTTAGGTTAATGTGTGTGGATAAATGACATATACTTGAAAGTTATTGTATTTTATTTCAATAAATGACAACTAACCTAACCTATTTTTAAAGCGGTGTGTCCCAATAATCCACAAGTACCATCCCATTAAACTCAAGCATTATCACTTTTTGAAATAGCACACATGACTTGAAAAACAGTTTCAGATTTTTGCAAACTGTTTACCTGCTTTTCTGTGTGCTTGCGAGATTGGAAGAAGGTGGAGATGGGAAGGGTCTCCCATCTCTTATCATCTTTAGAGCTCTGTTAAAGTAATCCTTGACATTTTTTCAAAATATGGAATAATGCTTGTATCAGTCTCTCACAAACTAACTGTTTGTTGGAAAAGTTTTAAAATGCAAAAATAGTGTTTTAAAAACAACCAGACTAATTTACCGTCTTGCACGTCCAGTCAGTCGGCAAAAGTATTCGCTTCTCATGCGCAATTACGCTACACAATTCTAATAGCAGAGTCCAAGCAAACGTTACAGTTTTTACTGACCAGAGAAACATTTTTCTATTTTTCCAATTTTAGTGGCCACACTGTTACAGACTAGAGGATTTACCACTGAGGATGTCTGAGAACATGATTCATCCCATAAATTGTAGTCTTCCAAAAATATTTATTTATTTATGTCAAATGGCAGGTACATACAATTTCATCTTTGATCCATATATTGCCAAGCTTGTAGACCACTTTTCTGTCAGAGATGTTGCCCAGGGTGCACCACAAGGAGGTAGGTCTACTTTGCACCAATCAAGGACTAGATGGAGAGGGTACATAGCACATGGAGAGATGAGAAGTATGTAGACAGTTTTGATCTGGAAGCCTGAAGGGCAGAGACAGCTTGAAGATCTAGTTGTAGATGGGAGGACAGTATTAAGATGCATCTTTCTGAGGTAGATGTGGATTGGATTTTCATGTGACTTGCATCAGGGTCCAGTGACAGGCTCTTGTGAACATGGGAATGAACATTCAGGTTCCATAAAAGATGCAGAATTTCTTAACTAGCTGATGAAAAAAAAGACTTCCATGGAGTGAGTTAGATATTTTTTATTTAAATAAATTATTTCTGTAGATTTATCTGCCATGTTAAGGAAAAAGTGATATGCGCTACCAAACTAAAATGGCAGGACCTGAAATTACATGAAAACCACAAGTCCGACATAACATATCCACTATTACAATCAAGTCAATAAAGTGAATGGGTTTTTAACAAGTCATTAAGGTGATGGATCAATGACTAAGATATTGGTAAAATTAGTTTTGTCCCAATATAACTGAAATGTTATTCTACGATATTCATAAATCTTTTATTGGAATCGAGGAATACAAAGTATAAAAGTCATTATATGGACAGAAACCGAGTACTGTACATGTATTTTGTGGAAATGTAAGGCACCCAGTGTGTTAAAATTGAGCACTCGTAAAATATAAACTTTAGTTTCATAAATATGATTAAATATCACTGATGAATAAAGTACAGAATTTTTTACATATGCAGTAGAATACCCTGTTTCAATTATTTGAAAACATATGAACACAGTCTGATACAACATAAATACAAACTCTATGTAACATTAATATATTCACGGGTGCAATCGTACCAGTTACCACTGCCATCTATATCACTTGATCTTTATACATCTTCATGCAGTTAACTGCGAATCCGTCCCTTGGATGGCTTCAGAATGCAGTAAAATTCTTAGAGTTGAAAGAAAGTTGAGTTACCAGCTTCTATATCTGATATCAACTTTATTTTACGCTTGAAATCATAAACACATGTACAGCTCATGAAGCAAGTTTGTAAGCTTATAAATTTGATGAATAAATATCACATTCTATTCAAAGAATGGGATCTAATGATTTGCCTGCACAAGTTTCTAAGAAAAATGTTAAGCAATTCTAGGTGGAAAAAGAGTTTGGCATAGAAATTCTCACAGCGGAGGATGCAAAACACACTTTTCACAGTGCAGAAACTTTCTAATATCAACTCCTCTCAGATTTAAGTACAGATAGTTTTTGAAAGTCTTTGTTTAGCAGCTCATCCAATGGGTCTCCCTGTGATGTTTCCTCCCCTGCAGCCCCTGGCTCTTGTCTGTTGAAGAGCAGGCTTGCCAAATGTTGCATTTCACTGTCTGATGTTACAACAGCCAACTGATCTTTATGTCCTACATAAACAAAGGGGTCGACATTCTTGGTTCGACCTTCTCGGCTCCACAGCGGTTTTGCCAAGATGTCTTCTTTTTGAGGACTGGAAATTGGGAAAAGATTGTTTACACCACTGAAAACATCAGCTGAAATTCAAGTAAAAACATTTCTTCCAATATCGTCATCCCTCGACCCCTTTATTCCTTTTGTACCTTTATCACCATTCCTTTTCCCTCCTCATATTCCTTTCCTGCCCCTTTCAACTTGGAATAACAATGGTAAGCATCGATCACAACAATATAGATGTCTTCCGAGATGTTGTGCCATGTAGGATGGTACAAAGTGACTGGTGTTCCAGACATACTGTCTCTATTATCGGGGCCCCACTTAATGGCACCTGTACCTTGTTGTGGTGGTGGGGCTCGAGTACCTCAGTGACCCCAAGAGCTATGCTGGCAGTAGCATAGCTACTGGTAGGGCCTCCCTAGCCAGATTGGTCGAGGGGGAGAGGTCAGATTAAGACAGGTACCCTGGTCCTCCAGGTTGGGGGTTGGTCGCAAGGCTAACAACCTTGCACCATAAAAAGGAAGATGTTTCGAAACCTCAATCAAAGCCTCGGACAGACAGACCTAACAGCTGAATGGAAGAGGAGAATTGCGGAGGCCATGGACCGGAGAGCCATAGAAGAAGATTGTCAGGGCAGTAATGATGGCAACAGTAAGCATAGCTGAAACGTTGATTGATTTCTACCAGACTACATGGTGAAAGAACCTAGAAGACGGACATCTTCACACTCACTGCCATGAGAACCTAAAATCTCAGCCGTAACATCATTTCAACATTTTTGTCATTGATATTAGAAATGCTTTAAAAGATGTTTCATGGTAGCAGCACTTGTACAATAGGGCATTTTCCCATCTAGGATCTCTCAAATACAACAAATTAGACACCTCATAACAGCCAGTAACCCAGCTAAAACATGCTTCTTCTTTTTCCAGTTTAATGATGTTTCTACATTTTCCGGTACCCTTTACGGGTCCCTAACTTTTTATTAGTTGGCTTGATCTATGGACATTCGGTAGGACTCCTTGGACGAGGGATCAGCCCATCGCAAGGCCTCTACCTGTATACAGGACAGCACAACACAGAAAAACATCCATGGCTTGAGTGGGATTCGAACCCATGGTCCCCGCGACCAAGCGGCACAAGGCCCACGCCTCAGACCGTGCGGCCACTGCAGACCCTGCTAAAACGTGTTGTGAATATAAAACTTGCTCAATCCATCTATCCAAATGCAGTTTCTACACACATGTTCATAAGTAATTCATTTCTGCCCTTTTAACACAAGTTCACACATTAATTTTGCACTAAAGCCAAATATTACTTACCTCCTTAGTGACCACGACTTGGAGTCTTCAGAACTGAAGGATTCACTCCTAGGGAAATCGATAATAGAACTAGTACCGGAACTAACGGGACTAGGGCAGGTGCTTGGCAATGCAACAGTATCTGGTGGCGCGGTCATAGAATCAGAAGGAAGAGATGTCATTTCAGGTACAGGCACTGCTATATGCAGAAGTTTCGGCTGATATGGCATTGCATTAGCTGCAAGACTCTCGCATACAAATTTGTCAACAAATGACAATGTAAAGTCAAACTGTTTTTCACTCCGTATTGATCGTTGTAATGCTCGGTGAATAACACTTATATGAGGAAGTGATGCCAGTAGTTCCAAACATGTGTGTCGTAAATATGCGTCTGCTAAATGAGACTTCATTATTTCTTGTAGAAGTTCTTCTAGAGAACTTATCGTTGTACCACATTTCTCAGCAACGTGGCTTGCTGAATGGATGATTGAAATGAGAAGGTTTTGAATACCTTGGGACACATTACTGGGTTCTTGGTTGCGCAAAACTTTACATCCAAGTGATACAAGCTTTTCAAGTACTTGCTGGCCATCATCTACTTTTGCACCGCAAAACTGGCTAAGACACCACACGTAGACCTCGATCACCGAGGTAGACACAGTTTTAGATTCTGCATATTTTGCAAGGATGTGCAAAACTTTTGATCTTGCAACAATTATATCCTCCAAATTGCCACTTCCTAAAAGAAGAAAAATAAATAATTAAACATAAAAACCAGTAGGAAAACAGCATGCATACTGATAAGGACAGAAAGACAGGAGCTCCAACCAGACAATGACAATTCAATTCAGCATAAAATATCTTATTCATAGACTACATCACCATACTTTCCCACATGTATAATAGAGTTGCCAGCAACTAACACTCTAACCAATCAAACAAATCATCATCTTCTTCTTGTAGTGTTATAACCCTATGTGGTTATCAGCTTGTTCGACGAGTTTTTTTCCATTCTGTCCTATCATTCACAATTCTTCTCCATCCCCTCACTCCCATCATCCTCACATCCTCCTCTACTTCATCTATCCATCGTTTCCGTGGTCTCTCTCTCATCCAACCAATTAAACAAATATGAACTGTTAACTGATGAACCCATCAAACTGGTAGGATAATCTTGCAAATACACAAATAAGCACCATCTGTCCACCACCAACACTGACCATAAAGTACTGAAATAGCAGTTACTGTTTGACCATTTCTTCTGTAGACCCTTCCAAAGTGGGCAGTATGGTAAGGAAAAATGTTGAAAGCCTAGTTCACACATGTCCACTTTACATTAAATAAAGTCTTGCATACAGATAATTGGAAGTTCACTTTAAAAGAGAAAAATGTGTTCTTTGCCAACAGAGCATTTAAAGAGGAGTCACATCAAATGTTTGGGACCTGGGTAATTTAAATTTACAAGCCTGCCATTACTCATTTTGTTACTTTGGTAATAAAATCAACTAGGTTACGACTATGTGCTCTGAATCTGTGTGGCTCAAGACACAGACCAGTGGTGGTATCTTGTGAGCACAAAATGATTAGGAAGTACGTCCATTGCTGGTACTGGTGGGAACTTAAAATCAAGTACAATGTTGGAAACAACACTTCACTGTTACATGTGAAGCTGACTTGTGTATTTAAATTATATGACCAATCATCAGTTAATCCAATATGCAGCTACAGTTAAAAAAATTTATATAGATGAGATATTAAACCAAATATGTAGATAAATTAAGTTAAATTAACTTATACAAAGGACTGCAGCCTCCTAACATCAAGTTTTTGTGGTCCAGAGCTCCTTACACATCTATTTCTATTGGCACTATTCTCCTGCTTTCCAAAAGCTATTCTTGTAATTATAAATCTACTCTCCTTTTTTCCAAATTCAATTATCAGTTACTAACTTTATTCTCCCATTTTCATGTAATCTTGTACAGGTATTTTCTTATATTTCTTAAAGCTTAACATTAGTAAAATGTATTGTTCTCTTACAAGCCACAGTTAATAAGCCACTTACTACTGAAAACGTTTTACATCCACAGATGATATATATCAAAAGTAATAATGATCAACTGTGGAAATTAAACAATCATCAGAATTATGTAGACTGTGATAATCGTTGGGGTCAGCAGTGGCCATGGGGTCTGAGGCGTGGGCCTTGTGCCGCTTGGTTGCTGGGACCGTGGGTTCGAATCCACTCAAGCCATGGATGTTTGTTCGCGTTTTTCTGTGTCGTGCTGTCCTGTGTACAGGTAGAGGCCTTGCGACAGGCCGATCCCTCGTCCAAGGAGTCCTACCGAATGTCTATAGATCAAGCCAACCGAAAGTTGGGACCCGCAGTGATAATCGTTAGAGTAAATATGTGTTAGTAAGAGCAGGAGCAGTAATTCTGAGATCTGAACAAGTTTCATCTCAACTGGACCCACTGAACAGCCAAGCAGAAATGCTAATGACCCGAGTTCCTGCCTTCCAAAGGAATCGACGCATCTATGGTGTTCCAGACAATACCTCTTTAACCAGCCATCACCAGGCAATAGTGTCCTTGAGAATGTGATAGTTGCTCAGTTTATCAGTGTAGTTCCAGCCATTTATGTATCCAAAGGTTTATTATTGTTTCACAAGTGCCCACCACTGGACCCTATCTTGAGCTAGTTTAATCCAGTCAATTCACACTCATCTATTTCTGTAAGATTAATCTTAATACCATCTTCAAATCTATCCCAATCTCACAGGTGGTACCTACCCTTCAGGTTTTCTGAACAAAATTCTGTACAATAAAATACACTTTACACCAACCTGCAAGTAATGTGAGCTGAATCCGTCTTTGTATGGCCTTTGCTTGTTTATCTTGAGCCAGTGGCAGGAGGCGTATAAGTGCAGCAATATGCCAGTGTGTTTGGGAGTTTTGAAATCTGTCGGTTAAAGCTAAGGCTCTGGAAATCAAGTCGTGCTGAATATATGGATTGTGCGCACAATGGTCACGTACATAATCAGCCACCTGGGTGCACACAATCTCTACATTGTGAGCTTCTGCCATGGTGCACAGCAAACTGAGTGTACGGCGTTTCATGGCTTGATCCGGATGGCACAGACTTGATAACACTACATCCTGTTGTGCGGGTGACAGTGGTAGCCTGTACTGTTCAAGTACCTTCTCCAACAAACTCAGACCTTCATACCTATAAAAGAACAGTAATCAGTAACACAAAATGAATCTAGAAATCTGGAATAAACAAAAAATTGATTTTATTGGAAAATGTTTCTAGTTCCCAAGAACATAGAGTGAAAATTATAATATAATGGAAAGTAACTGGTTTCAAAATTATTTCTTTCTATAAATGTAATTTTATTCTAAAATATATCTAAGAAGGAATATTTCCATCATAGCTGTGAAAGACTACATAATCCATGAGAATATTATAAACAAGCCCAATATGCAGCCAATAAATGACAAAGAGGGTTTCAATGCAGTGACAAAAAGCATCAAGCTGACTTTTTTAGAAGTTAAGTGAGTTAAAAATGGTGTTTGCTTCAAGAACTCCATGCATTATATCAGACAGTGACAATCATTTTAACAGATAATTTAATAAACAATTTAGCTTCATCATTTAACAAACTAGCTAGATGGCTTACCAAACCCGAAGGTTCATCATCAAATTAACCGAAGCCCTCCACTGGACCGTCCTGGGCCAACAAAATCCAGTTTCCTTCAACTCCTATCTCCCATAGATCCCGCCTGAGATTATCCTCCCATCTACGTCTAGGTCTCCCCAGCGGTCTCTTCCCCTCAGGTTTCCCAACCAATACCTGGTGCATACTTCTTGTCCCATCCATGCGTGCTACATGCCCCACCTATCTCATTCTTCTCGACTTAATCACCCTGACAATATTGGGGGAGGAGTACAGATTTTTAAACTCATCATTATGCAGTTTTCTCCATGCCCCATCGTCTTCTCTCTTAGGCCCAAATATCCTCCTCAACACCCTATTCTCAAACACCTGCAATCTGTGTTCGTCCCTCTGAGTGAGAGACCATGTTTCGCACACATTCATCATTTAACATTTGTGCAAATACTTCACGAATTTCATAAATTCATGTGTAGTGTTAATTACATTATTTGAACAGATTTAAACAAATTGAAACTGTTATAAATACATTAATCATATCAACAGCCAAATGTGAGTAATCAATTTATAATACAGTGGAACCTCTTTTAACCAACCTATATGGGGGGACCGTGAGTCGGAGGAGTGAGGAGAAGGGGAACGTGTTCAAGGATATGAAAAAAATAAGTAGAAGACAAAGATATAATTAGCAAAGTTGAAACAAAAACATGTAAATCATTGTTATAAATACTGAACTATACAGAGATTCAATACAGATTTTCCTCGGCAGATGATGCGGGCATTTCGCACGCACAAGCCTATGGCAAAAGAGTGAGCTCTGGTCGAGGAAGTACGTGTATTAAAATAGTGAATTTATCAGTCATTCTGAGTCTGTCCATAACATGAAGTGGAGGTTCTGGTGTGATTCTACTGATGACAGTTGATTTGCTTGCTATGTTCCAAACAAGAAGAAGTAGGGGATCAGCTTCTAAGGGACCAGCAGGTTTGAAGAAGCTATGTAATTTCAGCTGGGTTCATTTTTGTCTTTGCCTCAGAATAACCAATTCTCTAAATTTCCTGAAGTGTTCATAATAATCAGCAAAACCTGGGTCTGGGGTTAGATCAGTGAAAGGTTAGATGCTTCCAGTGTCAGCACTTAATGCTTCACCATAAATTCGCTGATTTCTCATGCCATATCTGTTTCTAAATCGCCAGAGCCATCCACTAATCGTGCTGAAGTTTTCAGTTTTTAGGTGCTTGGCCAAGCATTCAGCAGCAGCTTGAATTTCAACACCTCGCACAGCCATGCCACTCAATTGCTGTTGAGCATAAAACTTGTAAACTGATTCATCTAAAGTCAATGAAGCTGGCATTTCTAATACTTTCCGGGATGCCTTTTCCCTCTTGTCTTGCCTCTTCCCTGCCCTTGTATCAACATCGAATTTCAAGGCAAATTTCCTTATAGACTCTTTATTCTTCTTTATAGCCTTTACTGTAGTTGCACCGATGCCATGGTCAGCTGCTAGCTTAGCTATTGTGACACCAGATGCAATCTTCTCAATAATCTTCAATGTATCAGCTATCGAAAGCACAACACGTTTTATTTTCTCCTCACCACCCTTGTTAGAAGCCATTTTATTAGTTTATCACCTTACAGTTCTGTAATATAACAAAATACAGGTAGGACTCGGTTTACGCCGCTTTAATTTGCGCCTCTCATAGATCACGATTGGAGGGTGATGAGACATGACTCTGCCCGACTTCCTAGACACAGATGGTCTCGACATTGTAATAAAACTGTAATACTAAATGATAAACTACGGACTAAAATTTAAATAATTAAACAAAAAACGGAATATAAAATGCGATGAGAACAGCAAATTACATTAACCAGGGACTAAGAACTGCAAGTGAACTGACAAACATGCGTCTAGAGAACAGGACGCCGAAAAGTTACGTCTGATTGGTCCTAACAGTGAAATCAATGCAAGAGGCTATTGCTCTTATTAATAAGGGATGTGAGATCTTCTGTAGCAACAACCCCAACTGGGATCAGAGTTCAACCATTAAGAGAAGGATTGATACAGTTCTACAGCCATACTATAACTTATTATCAGAAAAGAAGAAAACCAAACAGACATATATTCTATCATTTTTAAAGCAGTACATTTTCTTTCTTTTTCTTAAACATTATACAATTTTCAATATGTAAATTTCATAAAAAAAAATTTTCAAATATTTTGTGTTGATTACTGAAAATCTTGGAACGGAACCTAATGTATTTACATATGTTCCCATTATATTTTTGCTTCAATTTACGCCAGAAATCTCAGGAACCTTACCCTGGCGTACACCAAGTCCTACCTGTATGCACAATTTTGCACCACACAGTGTACGCTCGTACCGCATGGGTCTCGTTTTACAGGCTCTCGCTGGTAGAAACCGATCTGGTTGAATTTCGGTCGGTTAATGCGGGAGTCGGATAATCGAGGGTTGGTTAACAGATGTTTTACTTCTAAAGGGTTTTGATGACAGTAATGTACAGTAAAACATCTTAAAATTATTCATTGTCAGGACTTTTTCCATCGTCTGTTCTTTAAAACCACGATGGAAAAAGTCCTGACAATGAATAATTTTAAGATGTTTTACTGTACTAACATTATTATGTCTGGTATAAGAAATTCAAGTTCACTGAAAACAATAAAAGTAAAACTTTAAAAGCCATGCTACTATACGCCATGTAGGTGCTTGGGGGGGGAAAGGTGGTATAGACCTACCCATTATTAACCTAGGCACTAAATAGGGGTGAGTTGAAAGCAATGGCCAGTTTAAAATGTAGTCCTCCTCTTAGTAGGTGTAATCTGAGAACTGCATGAAGCAATGGATGGGTTAGGGTCATCAGAATGCAAACTGTACAGCTTCTACAACCCCTACAATAAGGTGTGAAAAAAATAAGTGGAAAGTGTTCTGAAGGTATGGTGCACACAGTGAGACAGGATATTTGGATCAAGTTGGTCTTTATTTTCGTAAACAATAAAATTTCAAAAAAGTACCTCAAATAATTCAATATCAAGTTGTTCATAAGCTAAAAAACTGTGATGTCAATAAAAAATCGGCTGAATCTTTGAAAACAGCCAATAAAACCCTACTTTGTGTAAATCAACCAATTAGAATATTCTCTACATGTGATCACACAAAATGTAACTGCCCCTCTTCTGCATAAACAAGCACAAATATGCTGCTTTTTTAATCAAATAATGTTATAATTTAGCCTTATAATACAGATAAAAATCATAATTTTTAGTAACATTTTGTAATATTATAATTTGAGAAGTGTCAAAGAATGTCATTTTTAATATTTTACTTTTTACCTATGACCACTCCCCCATCAACCTCAAGCACTGAGTTTAAGTAATCTGTTTTTCTGCAATCTGTCCATGTGGGAAAAACAAAAGCCTGTCTGAAGGCTTACAAACAGAAATTCTATCGCCAAACTACTCATCAACAGGCTAGAAACCTGATATGCAGAATTTATCACTATTTTCAAGCACTGAAAGAAAATGAGATGGACCTTAAGATGTTTCCTTAAGAACAAAAGCATAGTCCAAAATAATTCCTAAAACAGGTCAAATAGTCTTAATGCTGGCAGGAATGACAGATGTTCCATTTATTACCTCAAGTTACTGCTTGTACTGCCCATCAGGTCTACCACACACAGTAATGCTGACGCCAGCATCTCATCCCCAGCTTTATGTTTTACCAATGTGGCTATGCACTCGCACACAATGGCTGATCCTATATAATTCTGCATCTGAGGCATTGCATTCTGTAGTGTCTTTTGAATAAGCATATAAATATCCATGCTAGGTTCTTGCAGATATTGTAGCAACCTTAAACAAAACACTACAGATATTATGAAACAGAACACAATAATCATTATCAGTATTGCCACTTCGAAACAATCCGATCACCTGATTATGGATATCTGCATCCAAGGCGCATGTAGTCCTTTGTATGTGTATTCATGTGGAAGTTTTCCATCCAAGATCTGATTTTGAATTTGTACTAACGCTGACATTACATCCATCACCACACCAGGTAAATCCTAATGGAAAGATTATAATATTGTAGTATGAGATGAAAAGAATAAACTAGAGAAAGTAATTACATGCTTTAGGGATCTGAATGTGTTAAATAAGACACTACATCTTAAACCAACCAATGCCAACTAAATGAATGCGATGGGAGTCCACTACGTAAGACCGAGGATTAAAGGAGCAGGAACTGTTTGCAAGTGAAGTTCTTTTTCTGATGAAGATGGGCTGTGTCTCAGCAAAGAGAAGCACGAGGTCCCAATTAAAATGTCTCCTGTTAAGATCAAATAAAATGGTAAGCTTCTCTACAGCCAATCATGTGAGTTGTTTGGTAATGTATGCATTCATGAAGAGAGAAGAGATATTCCCATTTGAAGCCATGCAAAAGTACAGGAGATTATCATATTGATATGAATTTTAAAAAAAAATTCATGTGGCATACAAGTGTTGAGGTGAATCCAGCTCCAATGTCAAATGCGGTGAAAAGTGCAGAAGGTATACTCATTCCTTCCAGATTTATACCAACTGATTACAAGGAATAAACCCATGAACCACACTTGCAATGACCATAACACAGCACAATCATCAGGGCAGCATGAGAGCACAGATGAACCAAGTGGCTGTCTGCGGGGAGACAGTTTTAGAGGTAGTGCATTTTACTGTTTCCTCAACTCTGCTTCATATTGTTCTGCTAACTCATTACAAATGTGAACACTGACGATTAAGAATATATTTCACGCCAATTCTGTATGCATAATGTTCAGTGTTCTAATTTTAATTACACCAAAAGTACATAACTGCTGTCATCCATCATATTTTTTTTACCCACAGTTTCTTCTGTTCTTGTTTTAAATATTACAACATGAACAATTTCTGCCACAGCATCTGGGAATTTTGTGTTATGATAAATTTGTTTTTAACTGGGAGGAGATGGCAGCAATGGCAGTAGCACTTAGGCTCGCTATAACCCTGACAATCACATAATTTTGGAACTACTGCCATAGTGGATACTGGGAACGACCCGTTCTTCAAGTGCCTGAGCACTGCGGGTCCCAACTTTTCCTTGGTTCGATCTATAGACATTCGGTAGGACTCCTTGGACGAGGGATCGGCCCGTCGCAAGGCCTCTACCTGTATACAGGACAGCACAACACAGAAAAACGCAGACAAACATCCATGGCTTGAGTGGGATTCGAACCCACGGTCCCAGCGACCAAGCAGCACAAGGCCCACACCTCAGACTACACGGCCACTGCGGACCCCACTATTGCCATATCATCCTTACCTCAGTCCTACTTAATTAATTTGGGGAAAGTTAGAAATGGGTTCCCAAGAGAGACATCACCTTCAAGTTAGGTCATTTATTGAACTTGCTGCAAAATGTTTGGTTCTACTACCAAGGAAAACTAGAAACACAGGTGTGAGTATGAGCTAATGGGTTGAGGCTCAGTATTTCTTGGGTTTTTTTTTTAAAGATAAGCATGTTGGAAAGCAAAACAAATAACGGAATAAGATGGTGCAGACACCTTTAAGAATGAACAATGGGAGAAACCTAATAGTTTTCAACAGAAAAATGAAATGGAAACAACAGGTTAGGAAAGATGTAAAAACAGAATGAAGGAAGAGCATGGAAAGAAACTGAGGAGATGTGGGAAGGCAGATGACCCATATAAAGTGAAAATGTCTTACAAAGAAGAATAAGAACATTGTGCAGATTTGTGATCATCGTAATGAACCTTTGGGTTCCACAAAAGTAGGGAATTTGTTAACCAGCTAAGCAACTATAAACAAGAGCATCCCACACCATAGAGTAAATTGCACAGCCAGCGTAATGAGTAAATTTAAATTTCTCTCAAAAATGAATCAATATAGCCTATGTTCTAAATGCTGGTATGCAGTCATCTTAAGACTCACTGTGCTTCTACCATTAATATGAAGAGTTATGAATGCAAAATGGATGTTTATAATCCATTAAAGAATCTTTTCATTAAAAATTCACAAAGCTGATCAAAAACACACCATTTTATGAAAAAATGTACATCACAAAACATTCATTCCTTGCCTCACATACAGAATGGCTTCTGGGGTCCACCCAGACTCTTACCACTAGTTACTAGGGAATCCTCCTTCTGTGTATAATTCTGAGGTGTAGAATTTGTGGTATTTACCTCCATGCCTCTATGCCTTCCAGGAATGGCCAACTTTAGTTTTCGTACTAATACTTAGTGAGCCAGGTAGCTCAGTCAGTACAATGACTGGCTATGGGCTGGGTGATTGGGGTTCGATCCCCGACAGAGGCAGAGGATTTTCTTCTGGTCAGTGTGTCCAGACTGGCTCTGGAACCCACCCAGCATCCTGTCCAGTGGGTACCATGGTCCTTTCCTGGAGGTAAAGCACGGCCGGGCCCATCTGGTACCGAGGTCAAGAAAGAGGTAGGAGCTATACCTCCTCTCCCCTAAGTGCCAACATTGGCATGTAGCAGGATGTCTTTACTTTTGTTAATATGTGGTATCAGTACTAATATGATTTTCTGATATATTACTATTATGTACTAATATGAATTAGTATGTTGAGAAAATGGGCCAAATAATAAACTAAGTCAAATTAAATGTACCTCAGCAACATCTATAAGGAACTGCAGAACGTGGGCCACCACTCCAGGATCTCTGTCTCCCACCATCACTTTCACCTGGTTCGCATACTGCAAACAAAGCTGAGGAGATACACGACAAAAGTGGTGTAAAACTATCACAGCTTTGCTTCGAACATATTCCTGTAAATGAACACTCAAAGTTTAAAAGGCGTGTATGTTCTGGAAAGTATATATAGTACACATTCACAAATTATAAAACATATGCAATTCTTAAGAGTATTTGAATTAATTATTATCTATGAGACAGAAAATAAAATACCTGCTACTAATGCCATTATCTAATAACACTAACCCTTCACTTTCGAGGCATTTAAACTTGTCCACAGCCTGATGTGCAGTCACTTTTTGAGGGACATTTAAATATTGGCAGATGGCCATAAACTCTGAATTTTTTTATTAGATTCTAGTGAAATTTTGACTGTGTGATGAATATCAACAAAGTGTTTATATTATAAAAGGATAAGCAAATACATTTTTAATACTTATATTAAAAAATTAAATATACAGTATTACTGGTCTTTAATGTAATATTTTTATATATATATATATAGTATTTTCTTGCCAAGGTGGTGCTTGGTACAGCCTCCAGATTGTGAGGATCATGGTTTGAGCAGGCAGTGATGGAAAATGCATACAAGCAACAGTCAAATTCACTGTATACTTCTCCCACCTACCTACCTATTCATTATTCATTCATTCATTCCTGATCATACATCCATGCCTTGAAATGGATCTGGATTTGTGATCATAGCAGAAAAGAACAAATCACATTTTAATGATCATACCAATGGCACTTAGCAGTAATCAACTTACATGCGCTACTTATGCAGTGTCCAATAGTTCTGTCCTCATAAATCAAGATATCATTTAATGCATTTAGTGCAGTAAAAAGGGACTGTTACCCCAAGTATTAAAAGAAAATTAAAGGTTAAGGAGAAAACAGAGAATTGAATACCAATTTCTAAGACCATGGAACAATTTCACATAGCAGAACAGTGTTCGACATTAAACGAAAGCTCTACCCTTCATATACTCTGGATTACAGCTAGTGTGGTGAAACATGGGCTATGATCTTGAGTAGTTCTCTGCTCAAGTGAGTACCTCAGAACTCATGACTCACCAATTAAGCTGTAATGAGGTTTGACTGTAGGATTTGAGATTCTCACAGCAGTGATTACAAAGATAGCTGTCTTCTTCTGAGTTGTAGCACCATGTATGGCAATGAGTCATTACCCTGATGATGGAGGCAACAAGGACCTCTGAAATGTTGGTAAACTTCTACCAGACTACATGGCATAACAACCCAGAAGACAGCCACCTTTAGACTCACTGCTGTGAAAACCTCAAATCCTACACAATACATTTTAACCTCATAACCCAGACGATGGCCATACAGGTTTGACTGTATATGAAATCTGGGCTGGACGCCCTCGGTGGACTAGTGGTTAACGTGCTCGTTACTGGACCCAAGGTTCGAGGGTTCAAACTCAGCTGAGGTCAATGGATTTTTAAGAGTGATAAAAATCTGTAGCACAACTTCCTTTGGAGGAGAAGTAAAGCCGGCCGTCCCATGTCGTAGATTTACGGCATGTAAAAGAACCTTACGAGCATGAACGAGATGTTTTGTAAGCAAAATTCTGCGGCCATTTCTCACCCAACTTTCTCCTGATTCACTACTAGATGGCTCTATCAGACAAATCAGGATTGAGTAGAAATTGTGAAGAGGCAGTGAGTGGGCTTGTCACTCACTACTCATAAATACACACTGCAAGGACAAGGAAACCTCCCACATGGGAGGAGGCCAAGGCTTGACTTCACCACAGAAGAAGAAGAAGAAGAAAGCTGGGCTGGGTGGAAAAACTAAGTGAGGGAAGATAAGCAAAACAGATGAAGAGAGTGGGCACATATGAGTAGCATTTAGAGAAGGATACAGAAGAATAGAGAAGGCTTTGTCATAAAGATAATCTCAGCATCATGAGAATGACAGTGGATGTTGATGACAGTGTTCAAATGATGACTGGCACTCCTGCTTCTGACTACCTACAGAAGAAACTAGTTTATATAATTCAATTCAAAGTCTGATAACATGAAACGAAACAATTCATGTATGGACAGTTCCAAGAGTGGCAGACTACAAATGGTCCAAAGGAGTGCTGCAGTACATGCCACCAGGAAGGAGGAGAATGGTAGAAGACAAAAAGTTTCATGAATACAAGGAATCCAGGGTGCAATGGCAGAGAAAGGATCTCAAGGACACCAAATGGGAAGAGAAAAACTATGATCGAAATCAGAAGATGTCGGTGACATTGTAAAATCAGTATGTAAATTAGTAAATTAATGTTGTTTCAGTTTCTTAGAATCAAAATTATTTCTCCAGTTTCTAATTACTGAAAGTCTACTCACGCTAGGATGTTTAAGCTTCTCCTCCAAAACAGGTAGCAGGACAGTCACTTGATCAGGAGAAACAAGATGGCAGCTGGCAGACAGAGCCATTGCTACCACATACATGTTCTTACTTGTTAGATCACGAAAGATTGTATTGACTAGAAGAACAGAGAGTGAGTCGCATTCACGCAGAAGGAAAGCACAAGCCAAGTAGCCTAGAAATACACACAGTGACATGTTTACTGGTAATGCAGTTTTGATATTCAATTACTGTTCTACTAAATGGTGGTTACTATGAAAAACAACAGTAAACACCATTTCTTGTAGCTCCTGAAATTGACTGGTTTTATGTGATGTATGGAGTAGTGTAAACACAGAGAAATCAAAGTATATGGTCACGTCTTGTCACCATAACACAGGGCAAAATCATTATACACATGAATCTAAAAATCCTTTGAAAATGTAGCAAAGTTAAAATATTTGGAAATGATGGTAACTTTATAATAATTTGCTGGAATTTGGTGTACCTAAGAAGCTAGTCAGGCTAATTAAAACGAGTTTAAGTGAAACCACTAGCAAAATTTGTGTAGGTAAATATCTATCCAATACATTTCCTATTCAGAATGGCCTGAAAAACAGAGATGCTCTATTGCCGCTGTTTTTCTATTCTGCCTTAAAATATGCCATCAGGAAAGTCCAAGAAAATCAGGGCGGTTTGTAATTGAATGGGACACATCAGCTTTTGTTCTATGCTGATGATATTAATCTGTTGGGCGATAATGTAAATACTGTAAAAGTGAAGACAGAAACACTCTTAAGGTCTGGTAGGGATGTTGGTCTAGAAATAAATGCAGAAAAGACATAGTAAATGATCATGTCTTGGCATCAGAATTCAGGACAGAACCAGAATACAAGGACAGCTAATGAATCATTTGAAAATGTGACAAAATTCAAGTAATTGGGGATGACACTAACAAGTCAGAATGGGAATGGGAGAAGGGCGGATAGCACGACAAATGTTGGATACGAGTGACTGGCACAAGACCAAGGGGAAGACCACGAAGAAGGTGGGAGGAGCAGATATACATTTGTTGTCTGCTTAGTTGCCAGCCTGCTACCTCATGCTGCATTCTGTTATTAGCTTCAACTTCTGATTTTTGGTTACAAACATAGTGTTAGGAGGTGAACAGTTCTGAATTAAGTAAAGAATTAAAGTTTCAAGATCTCATTCAATTCTGTGTTCTTCTACATCTTGATGCTTATCCTCAAAAGAAATTCCCTATGTTTTATTGTTCGCATAATGTAATTTGCTCGTATTAAAGGCAATCGACCAGTTTGTTACATATCCCATCATTATTTATAATAGCTACAGATGCAGCTCTACAGGATGATGTCATTCATTTTTATTGTCTAATTCATGCTTTTATCTCTCACAGAGGAAGCCAAGTTTTATTGGCTGATATAGTCTGAAGTTGTCACGGTGGCCACGTGGGCCTTGTGCCGCTTGGTCGCTGGGACCGTGGGTTCGAATTCCACTCAAGCCATGGATGTTTGTCCGTGGTTTTCTGTGTTGTGTGGTCCTGTGTACAGGTAGAGGCCTTGCGACGGGCCGATCCCTCGTCCAAGGAGTCCTACCAAATGTCTATAGATAAAGCCAATGAAAAGTTGGGACCCGCAGTGCTCAGGAACTTGAAGAACGGGTAGTTCTCAGTATCCCAGTCTGAAGTTATTAAACTCTGGTTGTTTATTTATTAGGATTAGCCCTCCATAATAGACCCCAAAAGTGGGTAGTTTTTGCCTTAAGATTGGAGCAGGTTCAGCTCCTGAAACATGGTGTTCTGTTTGTATAATTGATAATGTACATAAAAATGTATCAATACTAGCTATTCAAATATTCCAGGATCTTGAGGAATTCATGACCAGAACTACAGTGGTCCTTCCTTTTGTTTAGCTCTAAAACACAATCGGTGTATCAAAGTTATATTAGAATATTAATCAAAATACATTACCCATCTTCTTCTCAGCCAGGGATCCATACTGAGCCAATTTTACAGCATGAATATAAGCAAATTCTGCTTTGTATCCCGACAGTTCGGAAAAAATAGAAAATGCAAGGCATTTAATAATAGTGGATGGTTTGGTGGATGGTTCACACAACTTCCCTTTTACAAGTCTTAGACAGTCTTGAATCAACCATTCTTCCTCCTAAAATAAGAACACAACCAGATATTCATATTGAACACACTGTAATATGGGCATTTCATTCATTTTCGCATGTACGTACTCTTTTTGTTCGGGCAGAAATACATCTTTCAAGCATGTTTTTTAATGCAATGTTGGTCCCCAGTGGTGATAGTAAGCTCCCAATAGATTCAAGTGTCTTTTCAAATATTCCCGACATCGTTTTTCGCCTGATAACAGCATTTATAAATGAAATCTGAAAATTAATATAAGTGTTTTGTTTTGCATTCAAAGTATACACTGCTTACGTTTTCCCTCATAAAAAACACACATTGTGAAGACTCCCATATTCTTGCGCATGATGCCATGTTAACCAAGGTTATTAGCTCAGAGAGCACATAAGAAATACGAAATACTCAGATCCAAATGCCGAATCCATGGTTGCTTGGAGAGAGATCGCATGTAAGAAACAGTAAATATCCCATGCGAGAAGTGTGAAGGCTACAGAAAGGAAACAACAACAACAAGGCGTTTGACACACTGGATACACAGATACTAATAAAAAAATTGACAGTGGAACCACGGTTCCCTAGTTAACGGTGAATAACGTTTAACTGTAGGAAGTATATTTGTACTGAAATAAAATTTTATTTACACATTAATATATACCTTTACTTGTGGGTGTCAGTGAAATTCGATGGAGGGATCAAGGAGATTTCGAGTCTATAAGCTGTCGTATGTACTACTCGGGAGGTGAGAGTGCTGAAAGAGGTGTTGCAATAGTGATGCAGAAGTGGATCAAGAAAAGTATAATCAAAGTGCAAGCGTGTAGTGACAGATTGATGTATATCAAGTTGAATGTAGATCCAGTGGATATTCTGATAATGCAGGTGTACATGCCAACATCGGATCATGACGATGAAGAAGTGGAAATAATATATGAGAGGACAGAAGGAAGAGGGAAAGTGCAAACCATAATAATAGGAGACTGGAACAGTGTCGTGGGGAAAGGAGCAGAAAACAACATTGTCGGCCCTCATGGACTGGGAATAAGGAATAGGAGAGGAGACATGATGGTTGACTTCTGCCGAAGAAATGGACTGGTAATCACCAACACCTGGTTCAAGAAACATCACAGGAGATTGTATACGTGGAAAAGCCCAGGAAACAGGAGCAGATAGACTATATCTTAGTGAATCAACGATTTAGGAATAGCGTAAAGGATGTGACAACAGTGCCATCAGCGGACATCGACTCGGATCATAATATGTTAGTTGCAAACGTCAGCACCAGAATGAAGAAAATCAGGAGGAGGGGGGCGAGGAAGAAGAGATGGGACCTGGAGAACCTGAAGAGCGCGCGAGAAGAAGTAAGAGCAGAATTGGAAGGAAAATTAAGTGAAAGTGAAAGCAAAAGTGTTGAAGAGGAATGGGCGAATGTCAAGAAGTGCCTAACGGTGGCACTAGAAGAAAAGGTTGGTAGGATAAAAAGGATACCAAGGAAGACATGGATTACACAGGCTATGCTCGATAAGATGGATGAGAGGAGGAGATGGAAGAATATCAACAGTGAAGAGGGAAGACAGAAATATCGAAGACTGAACAACGAAC